AGTAACTCTCTCCTACAAATCCAAACAGTTCTGCAAAGGTGCTCCTGGCCGGTTCGTCTACACTGGTAAGTGTATTGTTTCCTTACTGCTTTTGGGATAATAACTCCCACGTCTTAATGATACACAGGCAGTGCAAAGCAGGAACATTACAATGCTCTTAAAAAATAGGCTGTGTCTTGCAGGAAATGTATCTGGTGGTAGCTGGATCTCAAAATACCTGCTTGTATGGGCACCCAGAAGCTCTGGTGTTTCTCAAAGCCTCTTGGGTCTTATATATCTCCATGTCTCATGAGACCAAGCTCTCACACAAGATGCCTGTTACTTCCTGTTTTCATTTTTGGCCAGAAATAGATTAACAATGGCATTTCCTACTCTGCTCCCGCCAGAAAAAAGGAGTTCAGAAGTATTCAGTGATGAAAAATATTTCTCAGACTATCTATCCAAACTTCTTGAACTTCCCCAAAGGTTCAGTTGGAGTTTTAGGCACCGGTTCAAGTAGCTGTTTTTGGATCCAAATAAATTTATCCAACCTTATTCACAATCTGGCTCTAAAAATTCTTTTAGACCTGAAACTTAGGATACAAACTCACAAGCCTGGGAAGGATTTATTTGTGCCAATCCTGTTAAATACATTTGATTTTAATTTACAAGAGCACAAGAAAAAGTCGGAACTTTGTGGTTTCCAGTGGTTTTAATATGAAAATTCTTACTTTGGGATGAGGTATTGCTGGCTTTTTATCTAAAATGTGTATTACATCTTTTCTGGCATTTAACAATGAATTTGACTAAGGTGCTGGGAGAGAAAAGGGAGAAACAGCAATTTAATTTACCATTCTTTTTGATGAGGATTATAGGTAATAAATTTGATCTGATGAATCAATCTCTCATTTGAAAACAAAGAGCCTTTAACTGTTTACTTGACAGACTGTAGGGATTCAGGGAGAATTCTTGATGCTTATTGGGTAGATAATGCAGATTGCAGATGATTTGCAGATGATGTGCATTTTGATGAATATTTTCCCACTAGACTGCAACTGTATCTATCTATTAATTCAGATCTAATGGGAAAAGTGTGTTCCTGGGTAGTTTTAAGCTAGGACTTTTCAAACAGTTAACACATTGTGGATATGTTTTTGACTGCCTAAGATCTATCAGTGAAATGAACTTTCAGAGTGAAGGTAGCATCTGATATTGCTGTTTTCCTTCTATCCCTTGAGCAAACCCAACACTTGCATTCACACTGGGATGCCTCAATTCTGGCTGACAAGAGAGACAATATTGACATTTTCTTGATCTTTCTGATTGTTTTTTTTATCAGAGGTACCAAACAGGGTGGTAGTGACCCTTTTGGTGCTAACAACATATATTGAAAGCCAACACTGTTTTGTATATTGCAAAGGTGGTGACTGCAGATGGGGCTGCATATGGTCATGGTTACAGGCTAAAAAATGCTGTTATGGGCACAGTCCATGCAAAGCTACAGTATCCTGACAGGTACGACTGGCTAGGATAAGTGTTCAGCAAAATAAAAGATGAATGAATTAAAAGCCTCAGACTAAGTTCCAGATAGTTTAGCTGTTGCGAGCTGGTGCAGCTCCATTGCACACAGGGAAGCGCTGCAGATTTGAACCAGATGCCGGTCTGGCTCGGTGCAGAGGAATTCTGAATTGCTCCATAGTAATGTCTTTAACTGATTTCTTAGGTGGGGTTTTTGCAAATTCAGCAACTATTGTTGGTTTTGAACTTCTTTCTCATGTGTAAATACAAATATATATGAAATTAAGGAAAAGACATTTGTTTCTTCTTCCCGGGGGGTCATCTTTTGTCTTTATTGCTAAGCAAAGATATTGAGAACACTGAGAGTGTCAGGAGATTTTCCTGCTGGAAAAAAATGGTAATAAAGTACATTGCTAACAACACTATCGTGGGATATATATATTTAAAATGCCTTTTGAGGGAAAGACAAACCTATATCCCATCAATAAGAGAATAAAAAAGATAAGGCCCGCGTCTGCCCGACCAAGAAACTTCTGCCTGCTCTGCTTTATCCTGAAGTGATAGGAGGACTGAGATAGTCTTTGGAAATTACAGCTGCCATTGAGAGCGGAGCCAAGCCTGACTGTATTTCAGAAAATGAAAATGATGTAGTCCTAGAGGAGGGAGGGGCTGAATCCCCAGGGCATCTGTTTCCCATCAGTGTCCCACCATGCTTGCAGCCCGGCTTGGCACTCTAACATTTAACCTTCCCAGCATGAGGTAGACCATAGGGCAACAAGGCTGCCGAATAATGAAACAAGAGTGTAGTCTGGTGTACAAAGCCTTTGTGAGCAGAGAAGTTGAGACATTAAATGATCAGGGTGCAGAGATACGAAAGTTCCAGATTTTTCTCAAAAGCCCCTATTAGTCTCACACAGAAGCAAGAGTGCGCCGGCTCTCAGCAGGCAGAGCCAAGGCCTTTCCCCATCTATCCATGCCTTTTTGCCCGCTGCTTTCAACTATTATAAAGATACAATTACCTTGGGAGATTGTGGCAGTTCAGTTGATTAGCACGGTGAATTAAAAGAATGAGTCACAAATGACATGTCCAGCTCTTCTCTACTAGTCCTTTGTATTCCCAGTGTACCTCACCCCTGTTGTAAGAAGGTCAAAAATTAGAGAGAGATAACAATTTTCAAGCAGCTAGCACTTAGGAGCAGAATTAACAATCATTCTGTATGTAATTGCCAGTTAATAGTAAATTGCCTTCCAGACTGTAAAATGCAATATAAACTGGTGGGCACCTAAAATTAAATTAATGAGGTATTTGCTGCATTTAAAAGTGAATAGTGCAAATTAATAACTGGGTACAATACTTGTTTTAATGTATATCGACCAGTGCATCGTTTGCTTGTTTAATAATCATTTTTAAAGAGCTACCTGAAAAATATTCAATGTCTGAGCAAATGGAGTGGTTTGTGCAGGTTGTAGCTGTAATTTTTCTGCTGAAGTCTTCCAAGTTTCTAAATTAAATATCAGAGATTATTTTTTTAATTAGAATATAAGCACTGCAGTGTTATTTGATTATGGCAAATTGTGATCTGTATGCTTCTAAATGAAATTATGTTACAGATAAAACTGCACCTTTACACACATATTTTAAGCTCTAGATTCTGTTGGTTTACTTGAAGATGAGCAGCAGTGTTGTATTTACAGTGTGTTGGTGCCACTGCCTCACTGTTTTCTCCAAGTGCCTATTTTGCATAATGATTCCCTAGCAAATAAAGGAAGTATAGTCAGACCCTGTGTATATTAAAATAGTTCCAAAGAAAGCCAGTTGGCACTCAGAACTTTTAAATGCTGGCGGCTTGCACTGCGCCGTTTCTGCTGCACACCCTTGTTTTGATAACTTCCCTTGCTCAGTGAAAGAAATGACCCAAATTGTCAGGAGACAACAGATCATTTGCAGGAGTCTGTACCCCGTTGCTGTACAAGGTATTGGCATTCGATTGCAAACATGTCCAAAGCAGACGTCGAGAAAGCGTGAATGTTGAATACATGGAACCATTCCCAGGTCTGCAATGCATTTGCTAGATGTGAACATAAAAATGATTATTTTGCACAAAGACTCGCATTCAATTTTAAGCTTATGAAACCATTACTCAACCAGTAAGTGCTCCCAGTTTGTGTTCCTTCTGATAGGGTATTTGTGTAGGAGGAGTACGGCCAGGCTCTAAGGCTGGCACAGCACCAAAGGGGGGAAACCCTCTTTAGTCACTACATTGCCCATATTTGCTGCTTTGGCTGGGCTCTGCCTCGGTGCAGAGACCTCTGCTTTGGCTGGGTTCCTCGCTCAGCCCCCACTCCACTTCCCCCTGTGAAAGATCTCATGTTCCTCAAGTATTTTCGAGATCTTTTGTGTGCATTCAAATGTGATTCTGTCAATGGCGCTGTTACACTGTTTAGAGTCAATAGCTCCCTTCCATCACAGCCAACACAAACTAGCTGTCTCATAGGTCAGTGCTCTTTAAACAAATTACTTGTATCCACAGAGCAAATGATTGTTAATTGCCTCCCACAAATCATACTATTTTTACTATGCTAAACTACATGCGAATGCCTTAGTTAAATTTAAATCACCTGATTAGTCCTTGTACATATTCAATTATTGCTCCAAAGAATGAAATCTGGTGACTTTGCAAAACCAGTGCTAAAAATATATATAATGGATACAGGACTTTATTGGAAAACCTTGAAAAAAAAGGAACAGTTACATTCATTTTAATGAAATCCTCAGCATTTCTCATTCACATATATTGCATTTCCTTTTTTTTTCCTTTTCTAAACGCTGTTGTCCTGAAGCAACTTGCAGTCCCTGTTATTACAGTATTGGTTATTTATTGATCAGACCTCGTGTCGGTATCAGTTGTTAGCAAGCTGAAAAAAATTGAGATAGAACAAATATTCTTGCCCTTTCTTCAAGATGGGTCTCTCTAAGTCAGTCAAAGTTAGCATTGCAGAGCCAAAGCCAGGAAGTATCTCTGTCAGCATGTTAAACCGCTTTATTGGGCTAGTGTAAAATGTGCTTTTCTTACAACAATAATGTCACAGGGAAGGAGATTCTGGCTAACTGTCTTTTCTTATAAAGAAGGTTTTTCAGCATGTCACACATTTTTAATTAATAGGGCAATGCTAAACATACAGAAGTGATTTAGTAGCATCAAGTCCATAGCATGTTGGATAATGTATATCATATAATAGCTCTTTTTTAAACAGTAGCAATTCCAGGTTTATCAGGGTCATTGTTGTCCCCTTTCTTTTCTGTCTCAAAGGAGGCCAGAAGAATGAGACATACCATTTGTGCTATTGCACAAGTAGACTATTTGTCCTAATCAGTGACACCCATTTACTAGAATTGCTTAAAATGAACTATACCTCATACAGAAATCGCACATTTAGAGTGTTCCATTCATCATCTGAAAATTGAGGGCCAGTAAACTTTTCTGTTCCTCCAGCGGGATCATAGACATGCATCAAAATGTTAAAAAATGATTGGTGAGAGAGAACTGTCACCCATTTATCAAGGAAA